GAGTGAGAGTTATTATGGGATGCGGGCAGAGGGTGTCGGAGGAGGCAGAGGGTGTCGGGCTGGGAGGAGGAGATTGAGAGAGAGAGTTTTTGCACGGGCAGAGGGTGGGTCACGGAGAGCAAGAGAGGGTGTTTGCACAAGCCTGGTTCATCCTGTGGAGGGAGATAGTTTTTGCGGGGACAGAGGCAGGGGGTTAAAAAGTGAGGAGGATGCACTTTGCATGGGCCTGGTCCATCCATTCCAGTGGAGAGTTTGCACAGGCAGCAAGGAGAAAGGGCAGCCGGCTGAAGAGCATGATCGGAAGGAAAAGAAATCACTGAGCACAGCCAGCGGCAGAGCAAGCCGATCGGGCGCCTGGGGTGACCCAGGGTGGAGCCAGCTGCTGGCGGGGGCGGGGCAGGACACTACGCGGGGCCTCCAAGGAGTCTGCCTGCCTCCTCTCACTCAGCTGCCCTACATCTGAGGGGGAGGCATCAGGCGGACCATTTGGGCAGCGGGGAGCCTGCGTGCGCCCAAGCCACCACGTCTCTCCCAGGAGAGACGCGTGGCTCCGGCACACTACAGGCCTCACGGTGAGTGCCACCTGGCATTTCGTCACACTCCCCCCAGTGGTGACACCTGGAGCACCCGCACCCAGTGCACCCCCTTCCTCCGCCCCTGAGCACAGCGTAGCAGCTAGAATACAAGGACACTTGCCCCGAAACTCCTCCCATGCACCAGCTAAAGTAATTTTTAGCCCCCCCATTTGCCCCCACCTGTCCCATATTGTGCCCAACCTGTCCTTTATTTTGCCTGACCAAAGGTGGCAGCCCTACCTGATAGCTGCTTCAGGTCTGATTCGTGAACTGTTGAGAAATGGGCCACACTCCTGACTCCATTAGGGTGTCAGCATCTTTCATAATTCCCAGTGCATCTGTTGCCCTAGCAAAAGAGTATTCAAACCCAGATTATTATTACCGTATTTTTCGCTCTATAAGACGCACCAGACCACAAGACGCACCTAGTTTTTGGAGGCGGAAAACAAGAAAAAAAATATTCTGAATCCCAGAAGCCAGAACAGCAAGAGGGATTGCTGCACAGTGAAAGCAGCTGTTCTGGCTTCTGGGATAGCTGCACAGCCTGTATTCGCTCCATAAGACGCACAAACATTTCCCCTTACTTTTAAGGAGGGAAAAAGTGAGTCTTATAGAGCAAAAAATACGGTATTTTTTAAACAGTCTTTTGATAAAATAATAAGAACTATTTCTCTCTTTTTTCCCCCTTCCATAGACATTTTCATATTTAGATCTCAAACATGTGAGCTTCCCTTGGGCTTGCCCACCACAGTAAAGAATCTGGGTTCCTGAACAGTGGTAACAGGGAAAATAATGCTCAAGGAAATTGTTTAAACCCCAGAAAATCAAATAAATCCATCCCAAAGGATTTCTGAGCAGCCATTTTAAAAATATTTCCCATTCCTTGGGAGGGGTGGGTGACAAAAGCCCCACCCCACCTCCCCCACCCCCATTTATTGAACAGCCAAAAATCTGTGAGAAATTAAATTCAAGGCGGACAAGGCCAGATGATGTTACTGAAAAGCAGCTCTTTTCACCTCTCGTAGAGCTCGACAGAGGGCAGCGTGGGCGGTAACAGGAAATATAATATGCCGGGAATATTAAATTAATACTATTATGTCTAGGCCGAGATGAAGTACATTCCACAGAAGTAAATAATCCTCAGCTACCAGCTCAGGTAGTTGGGTTTTTAATCAGCAGATTAGTATAAGGACAGGTTTGCAGCCCCAGGAATGCAGCCCCAGGGAAAGGACCAGAGATATGGGAGGCAGGGTAACTCATTGCAATGAATAACAACAACATCTCTTAACATTTTGCATTTTTTTTGGTTAGGGCTTTTGGACGGTTGCATAGGCCTTGTGATGGAAATCAAATACAATATATGCCACCACCTTCAGGCGGTCATGGAATTGTTTCGGGGACTTGATCTTTGGATAACCTTGTTAGATACTTCTTGCTGAAGCAGGAAATAGGTTTTTGATGAGAACGAGTGTGCACCTGTTTTCCTGATCTGTAAAAAGAGCAGTGTGGTGTAGTGGTTAGAGCACAGGTCTAGAACTGGATATATCCTGGTTCAAATCCCCACTTAACCGTGAAGCTCACTGGATTAACTTGGATCAGTCTCTCTCTCTCTGTCTGTCTGTCTGTCTGTCTGTCTCAGAGAACCATGTGCACCACTTTGATAATAATAATTTATAATAATAATAATAATTTATTATTTATACCCTGCCCATCTGGCTGAGTTTCCCCAGCCACTCTGGGCGGCTTCCAATCAAGTGTTAAAAACAATACAGCATTAAATATTAAAAACTTCCCTAAACAGGGCTGCCTTCAAATGTCTTTTAAAGAGAAGATAGCTGCTTATTTCCTTCACATCTGAAGGGAGGGCGTTCCACAGGGCGGGCGCCACTACCGAGAAGGCCCTCTTTGATGGAATGGTGGGGGATATAAAAGCACTAAATAAAGTCAAAGTCAAATCCGTTTATTGTGAGGACCATGCCTGTACACAAACATTAACACAACAATAGTTAAAAAATATTAAAATTCATTACATACTACGCCAACAAAACCTTCATCCCACAAAATAGAAAGAGAGGGAAAACGAGCAACGAGTTAAACAGACGATGAAGGGGTCTTTACATTGTCATCCATAAGTCTTTCCCTGGCTTTCATGGCCTTCATCACAAAAACCGCTACCACATGGGTAATACGTGGGTTTGCATCAACTAACAAAAATTTTACTCTATCTTCAGGATTGGTTATAGAGTTGGGTATAATTTGCAGCAATGCGTCTCTAAAGCCCGAGTAGATGGGGCAATAGAGGAGGTAATGTGTAAGATCCTCTTTAATTTTCATAAGGCAAGGGCATAAACGATGTTCTACTGGGGTTTTTGTGAATCTACCGGTCAGATATGCAGTTGGCAGTGTTTGAAACCGTGCCATAGTGAAAGCTCTCCGAAGGGTGGGATCAGTGATCTCCACCAAGTAGTTGGCACAGATTTTGACTGCTTTTACTCGGGAAACCAGTAGGAAAACCCAGAGTTTTTATCTTTGTGGAGTCCATAAAGGCGTCTTTTTCAAAGATCCATTCCCGAACTTTATCAGGGCTCCACAATTTAAGGGTATTAAACTCAGGTAGATTGTATCTGGATAGGATATCTAGTAGGTTTTTATGCCAAGTAGTATTATTTTGTAATGATACAAAGGCTTGTTTAGCCAATAAGGTGTTCGGGGCATCTGTGAGGTTGGTAAAAAAACGCAGGAATCTTAAGTGGGCCCTGGCAGACACAGAAGGTAATCCTACTTCCACTCTTAGGAGAGCTGCCGGAGTACTCTGAGGGAGGCCTAGAATTCTTCTGAGGTAAAAATTTTGGAAGATTTCAAGCCGTTCTAACAGCTTCTGATTCCATCCCCAGAGTTCTACTCCATATAGCATCTGGGGAATCACTTTTCCAACAAAAGCTTTTAATGCCGGGATCACCAGTTGCCCTCCCCTCGAATAAAAAAGCTGAGCAGAGCACCGATTGTCCTACGTGTTAGAAGGGCTACAGTCTTGAAGTGGGCAAGCCAGCTAGATGTAGCTTGGAAAGTGATACCAAGATATTTAAAAAAAGACACTGTTCAATTTTGTGTTCATCTAAAGACCATCTAAATGTGTGGCGAGCTCTAGTAAATACCACAATTTTTGTTTTGTCATAATTTATCTTTAGAGAGTTTTGGGAACAATAAGCTGCGAGCCCCTCCAGCATGCTATGTAGGCCCCTTCGAGTAAGTGCCATGACAGCCATGTCATCAGCATATAGTAATATATTCAGGTGTTTGCCTTCCAGGGCAGGAGCTGATGATTTATACTTTGCCATATGTTGAACAATGTCATTTATATAGAAATTAAAGAGGAACGGCGCTAACAAACAGCCCTGTTTAACCCCTTTCCCCAGTGGCAGTGGGTCAGTATAGTTGCCTGACATCCCAGTTCTGATTTTAACTGTGGTGTCTGAATGTAACTCTCTAAGTATTTTGAGAAGTCGTCTATCAATATCTGTTTCATATAATTTTTGCCATAATTTGTCCCTACAGATTGAATCAAAAGCGGATGTGAGATCTACAAAAGCCACAAAAAGTTTGCTCTTATGTACCTTTGTATACTTATCTATCATTGTCTGTAGTACCAAACAATGGCCTGTTGTACTATGGCCCTTTCTAAACCCTGCCTGTTCCGGATTAAGCAGGTTAGAGTGGTCAGCCCAGTCAACCAGTTTATTTAGCAGGTAGCGAGTGTAAAGTTTATACACAATGTCCAGGAGACTTATGGGGCGATAGTTTGAGGGGTCTTGGGGGTCTCCTTCTTATAGATGGGGGCTACCAGGCTCAGTTTCCAGTTTTCTGGGATTTTGCATATATCATTTATTACCGTAAAAGTTGGGCCAAAATAGCAGCCCACCACTGGGCATTTAGTTTAAACACCTCAGGAGGAATCATATCCTCACCGGGAGCTTTGCCATTCTTGAGTGTTTTAATTAGCTGTAAACATTCTGATTCGGTAACAGGATCCCAGCCCATTAATAGATCGTTTTTAAGAGGAGGAAACTGGCTCGGTTTAGCAATGTTTGGAGCTGTATATAGCCGGGAAAAATGTTGGTACCATAAGTTAGATGAAATACTGTTGGTTACAATTTTCCCTTTGGGTGAAACTCCCTGGGCAATTATTTCCCAGAACTTTTTGTCATCCCGCAATTTGATCGCTTTGTCAAGTGCCTCCCATTGTTCCTTTCTGTAGAGGGATTTCTTAAATTTTAGAGTATTTTTATAATGAGAACGCCACCTGTGCAGGTTTTCCAATGAGGACAGGGTCCCTTCCTGTTTTACCTTATTTTGTAATTTCCTAAGCAAAGATCTTAGATTCCTACAGTCTTTGTCGAACCAGGCCCTCGAGTTGTTTTGTTTTTTGGGAGGGTTGGAATTCGTGAGTAGTGGGAAGAGCGACTCTGAGACCTGCTGAAATGTTGAAAAGGGGTCAGAAATAGATGAGATACACTGGTCTCTCAAGGCCAGTAAGTCTGATGAATGCAGGTGTAATTTGATTTTAGATTCCAGGTCGCTGTTCCATTTACGCCTACGAAGGGCCAGAGTTGGAGGTGGGTCTGCACAGTGATTGCGGTATTGCGGATCCTCCACACCACGGGGAATTAGTGAAATTGATATAGGAAGATGATCACTCTCAATTCTATTGAAAGTCCTGAAGCCCTGTGACCTCTCCAAGAGTTTTGGGGAGACCAGGATATGATCAATAACGCTCGCACCTCTAGGTCCAAGAAAAGAAAAGAAACCCCCTGACCTGTCCATATGGGTACCATGCAAATTATACAAATTATGTTTGAAGGCAGTCTCCATTAATGTAATGCCTGCCTTATTCAAGACCTTATCGTCTGAGGACCAGGGAATAAACCAATCTGCCTCTGGCAGGAACTGAGATTTAGAGCAGTACGTATTAATGTCATTTCCTATCCTGGCGTTGAAATCACCTGCCAGCAGGATATCCATGCCAGGGAGTTCTAGTTCAGCCTTCTCCAAACATAGCTCTAAATCTTCCCAGAATTGTGACGACTGGGGAGGGGTGCCTATGGGAGGGATATATATATTAAAGCAAAGGAAATCTCCTCCTTCACTGCTAGAAATAAGTAAGATTTGTAAATTGTTACTCTTCACCCACTGCTGTTGCCGGACCTTGCATTTTAGCTTGGTAGAAACAAAAGTGACTAAACCACCACTAGGTCGGCCTCGGGATTTTGGTTTTATCGCAGGGGTAGCAAAGGCTTCGTATCCCTGTAAAGAGGGGACATGGAGATCTAGACACCATGTCTCCTGTAGACATAAAATCTGAAATTTTGTAAGGAAATCCAGAAGGTCGACGTCACCCTGCTTAGATAGCCATCCCGCCACATTCCAGGATAGAATGTGGAAATAGGGTGATGGTGGAAATAGTGGCAGTCAATCTCTTTTCCGATGGTTTGAGGCTCCTGAGCTGGGCTCCTCCTCTATCTGCCCTGCTTGGTGGTTCCGGGTTTGAGGTCGCTGGTCCCTAGATAGGTGTGATAGCTTTAACTGGGGGGCCAATAGGTTGATTTGGCCCAGAGGATCTTCGATGACACCGTTACAAATATCATGTTGTTCAGCTGATGTATCATGATGTTCAGCTGGTTTTCGCAGAGCAAGGATTTTGCCGACCCGTATAGGCTGTATAGGTAGCAGGTCGACAACTGCATCTTGCGTCGGTACTGCTAGCGGGTCAAAATTTGACAAAAGCTGTGGATCTTGATTGCGTATTGGGCTTAGAATAATGGAAGCCTCCAATTCCGGCATCGAGGCATATGAGGACGAGAGCATTTCAGACTGGTCTTGCTTGGGTAGTCCAATGCCAGGCTCGTTGCACGTAGAGACCAGGGTACCAAGCGTGGATGTAGGAAATCAATTAAGTCATTTGCGGGCAGGCTTGCCACTCCCTGTGGGGTAATAGATCCCGGCTCCATTCCCCCGTCTATTTGTTCTTTATGGCGCACAGGCCCAGCATCAACACCGACAGCACCTATCCTGGTGCATAGCGGTGTACGGGTCAGATTGGTGAATACCCTTGTAAAATAGATGTACCATTTTCTTGTGCGGTTTCTTAATTTTAGAATCTTTGCAACGAAATGGGCAGATCTAAAGTTAATAACCATACGTCTCATATAAGGTCCAGAAGGCAGCCATGAGATGTCCACGATATCTACGGGCGTAATGTCTGCCCCAGCAGTTGGGTCAGGGAATTTGTGACCGAATGTTTATCCGCCCATTTGTTATAATTCAAGGGGTGGTTTCCCACCAGTACTGCAAGTTTGCTGTTCTGGAGTTGCAGACTTGAGTTTTGTACTTGGTTGGGCAGGCATCTCACTTGTTTTTGTGCAAGGTTGGCCTGCGCACTTGGGCAGGGGTGAGCGGAGTTTGCAATGTTGTTAAGCTGAAGAAGTGAGGGGGGGCAACTGAACAAGCCAAAGGCTTTTTCAAGCTTCTTTTCGATCCCATCCAGCCTTTTATATAAGTTGGTGATGGTATGTGTTATCAACTCAGTCTGGCAGATTAGCAGTTCCAGTGCCTCTCGGTCCTTGTTTAACTGGGCTGGTGACTGGGATAATTCAGGTGAAGTTTTTTTGCAGGGACTCAAGAGTCTGTTCCATCTGTTCCTTCATACACAGGCTCGAGGCTAGTTGTGGGCCATCCACAATGCCGGCAGGCTCCTCATGAGTAGTACTGGGAGCAAGGACCTCATGGCTGTTTGCTGTGGGGAAGTTTCTACAGATCTCATTTAGGTCATTGTCAGGCAAGAAATCCCTGATATTTGTCTGTTTTTTGGCAGTGCTCGTAGCTTCATTGGAATGCTGCCTGCGGCGTTTCTTCCCTCTCATGTCGGCAAGAAAATAGGGAGAAAATTTCTCAAAATAGTAGGGTCAGGGCAGGTTGTGCTGTTAATGAGCCCTACTCCCTTTAACAGTCTTTATCTGCCGTGTTTTCTTGCAGATTTATGGGAGAAGTAGAAATAATCTAAACCATAAAACTTCTAAAATAAACGCCTTAAGGCATCTTAGAGCCCTTAGAACCCGTCAAAGCAGATAATAAAAATATAGCTTTACCGAGCATAAGACAAGGCTGCCGCTCACGTCGCCATCTTGGATCCGCCTCAAATTGTTTCGGGGACTTGATCTTTGGATAACCTTGTTAGATACTTCTTGCTGAAGCAGGAAATAGGTTTTTGATGAGAACGAGTGTGCACCTGTTTTCCTGATCTGTAAAAAGAGCAGTGTGGTGTAGTGGTTAGAGCACAGGTCTAGAACTGGATATATCCTGGTTCAAATCCCCACTTAACCGTGAAGCTCACTGGATTAACTTGGATCAGTCTCTCTCTCTCTGTCTGTCTGTCTGTCTGTCTGTCTCAGAGAACCATGTGCACCACTTTGATAATAATAATTTATAATAATAATAATAATTTATTATTTATACCCTGCCCATCTGGCTGAGTTTCCCCAGCCACTCTGGGCGGCTTCCAATCAAGTGTTAAAAACAATACAGCATTAAATATTAAAAACTTCCCTAAACAGGGCTGCCTTCAAATGTCTTTTAAAGAGAAGATAGCTGCTTATTTCCTTCACATCTGAAGGGAGGGCGTTCCACAGGGCGGGCGCCACTACCGAGAAGGCCCTCTTTGATGGAATGGTGGGGGATATAAAAGCACTAAATAAATGTGGCTCTTCCTTTGAATCAAACAGGGCTTTGGACTGTTTGGATAAGCAAAGACTATCGCAGCCTGATTCCCCCTCCACAAGCCTTCCCAACTTATTTACTTCTTTCTCCATCTTCCCAGCCAATTTCTGTCCAATTTCCTCAAGTGGGAGTAGGAGAGCCTTCCTTACCTTGGAGAAGCTGAGCAGGGTGTCAGGAGGCAGAAGACAAGAAGGTGGATGTCCTTGGCAGCAAATGGCAAACTCAAATTTGAGTAATCCATTAGGGCCAGGTGGGACTTGTATTTTTATAGCCCGCTTTCCATTTCAATTACTTCTTCAGTTCTCAGTTGGATTTTTATTTTTATTTTTGTAGCTAATACAGTAATCATTATAAGGTAAATGGCTGGTTCCCACCCAGCCAAGAAAGGCAATCACATACCCTCCAACGTTTCTCCCAAGAAAATAGAGACGTTTCATTATAATGATAATCATGATAATACTCTGGGTGGCTTCAAACACATTTAAAAACATAATAAAACTATATAGGGCTGCCTTCCGATGTCTTCTAAAGGTTGTATAGTTACTTATCTCCATGGCTTTGAGGTCACATAACTCCATAGCCTCTAACATTTCTCCGGTGAACATCCTAAGGAAAAGCAAGACCTTCTGGGATCAAATAAAAAACTCGGACGGCTTCTGTAAATTCAGGATGTCCCTAGAAAATAGGGACACTTGGAGGGTCTGCAATCAGCTGGTGATTAATTCTTTCTTGCCAAATGCATGCACTTATAGCAGCTCCTAAGTTACTCAATATACACAAGCACACATGTGCCTAGTGCCCACTTAGCTGGCCTTAACTTTTAAGTTTGTACCCTGAGGAACAGTTGAAGCAAGAGTGGGACAATGCCTCTCTCCTGGGCATTTGACAGAGTATGCATACAACAACCTGAGACTTCTCCTTCACGGAAGTCATCACTGCTCTTCTCTCTTCAAGCCCCTCCTGGTTCTAGGAGGCGGCAGGGCAGCAGATGGTGGGCATTTGACCAGCCTGTCCCTTACCTGAGCAGCTTCTTCCTTTGCTTCTGACATGTCCTGCTCTCCCACATCCATCCTTTGCTACATTTCCATGTTATTCTGAACCAAAGCCTTTTGCTCAATTCTCCAACTGTCTGCTTTGTGTTTTTCCCTTCATTTCAACAGAGATATAGCCTGCTTCCAGAAGGCGGGCAACACTTTAACATGTGTTGCAAGGGATCATCAATCCTCTGCTCTTCGCCAGTTATCCCTTGGCTTACCACTAAGATGTACGATGCTATCAGCCCTTTCTGCCCCTTCACCAGATGAAAACAAGAAGCATGACAGCTGCCTTCTGACTGGCCTCCTGAGAAGAAACCGCTTAAGCCACAAGAAATAATCAAAGAGGGTGTCCAGAGTTCTGGCTGGCTAATGACAGACATATGGAGCCCAGAGGGAAGCAGCAGGCCACAGGTAGAGTGATGCAGGAAGGGAGTGGGGAGGAGAGCTTAAAGATGGTTAGGAAGCAGAAGCCATATTTCAACTTGCTGTTGGCCCGTTGGAACTTTCCCATAGATTATCCTGCACTGCAGGACTAACACGTGACTCTGATTCCTTGCCTTGCTACACCTCTGCTCAATCCCGGCAGCCTTGGAGTTCAAGCACTTCTACATGGTTTGTGAAAGGGAGAGTTTCAGAGAGGCAACCAATAAACCCATATCCTTATTTGGGGTGGGGGCTTTGTGGCCTTTATACTAATGTGTTCTCTAACCTTCATGGCTCAGTTCATAACACATGTGTCTGATTTGCTATTCCCTTTGCATTTGGGGGTAGATGGCTGATAGGGCAAGCAGTGCTGAATTGAAACATGTTTATGATCGCTGGGGATGTTAATAAAGGCTTCGGCATATGCAAAATGCCAGCTTCAGCACTGCTGCGCAAACACCATTTCTAACTTTCTTTAGATGGTGCCTGTATACAGACCCTCCAACTGTCCTTATTTTCCAGGGACAGTCCCAGATTTGCAGAAGCCATCCTGGTTTCTGATTTGATTCCGGAATGTCCCAGTTTTCCTTAGGACGTCCCTATTTTCATCAGAGAGTGTGTCACAAGAGATTCTTTGTCTTTCTTGTTTTAAATTGTCCCTGTCTAGCTCTTCAACTTTGTCTTGCTGTGTTCCAAAAAGAACAAAACAACTGTGCTGCAAAACCATTCTTAAAAAAGAAAACAAAAACAGGTTCATGATGCATCCATCATCCAGCAGAAGCCCCAAAGCTTGGTGAGCAATTCCAACTGCCTGGGGATATGTTTATATTTCCATTTTTAACTTGCCAATGCAATCAATTAAGTTCCATATCAACTCAACACGTTGTTTACATGTTCCATGTCTTACTAATCTAAAAGTAAATTACATTGAGACACTGTGTCCTATAATTTAAAGATTGGGAACCCGTGGCCATGCAGATGTTGCTGCAGTACAACTCAAACACCATCCTTGACCATTTGTCATGCCATCTGGGGCTGATGAGTCCAACAACATCTGCAACAACATTCAACTGAATATTGCACCTTTCTCCAGGAGACTTCATTTTCTTACAAGACAGCCATACATGCAGGTAATGAAAACAGACATGACAGCAGCAGGCCATCATTTAAATGCAAGCATGTTGTACTCCACCTCATGAGAAGAGAAGACTCCCTAGAAAAGACCCTGATGTTGGGAAGGATGGAGGGCACAAGGAGAAGGGGACAACAGAGGATGAGATGGCTGGACAGTGTTCTCGAAGCTACGAACATGAGTTTGACCAAACTGCGGGAGGCAGTGGAAGACAGGAGTGCCTGGCGTGCTCTGGTCCATGGGGTCACAAAGAGTCAGACATGACTAAATGACTAAACAACAACATGTTGTACTCATGTAGAAAACAAGAAGTGGGAAGGTCCCTGATTTAAGGAAGCCCGGAATGTGTATGGATAGGGAGTGCAGAACCTTCTATGCTGCAACACTCTTCCCATACTGCTTCCCTCTCCTCTGGGATCACAACCCCAGATAGGAGAACAATGCTTAAGAAAAGGGGCTGTAGGGAGGTAAACTTCAGTGGAGGGGGGAGGATGCTGTTCTCAACTCCTGTAAACACTTCCAGCAAAGCAGAGTGGGGATGGACCATATAGCTCAATGGTAGAGCACATGTTTTGCATCCAGAAGGTCGCAGGTTCAATCCCAGGCATCTCCAGTTAAAAGGATCCTGTAGCAGATGATGTGATGCAAGCCTCTGTCTGTGAGATCTTGGAAAGCTGCTGCCAGACAAAGTAGACAATACTGAGCTGAACAAAATAGCACTCTGATAAGACAGCTAGCTTCCTAGGTTCTCATAAACTCCCACCCCACTTTTTCTGTGACTGCGGCTGCCCATGAGGTTGCAGAGGGTAGCCCTAGGTAACTACTACTCCATTTCTCAGAAATTTGCTCAGGGAGTGTGGTAAGGCTCCATATTGTTCCCAACGCTTTTAGGATGCCTACATCTGTAAGGGGGGATTGCTCACCATTGTGGAATGTAGGCATCAGCAATAGGTTGGTTGTACCAAGCCCTATTCCCTCCACTTTATCAAACCCAGGAGCAGCAGTGCGAATGGATACTGTTGTAGCCTGGATGTGTTCACGTCATGGTGGATGGTCCAAGGATCTCACAGGAGCTATCTATCTTGATGGTCCCTGTGGCCAGGAGCACCTTTTATCAGTTAAAACTGACATAGCAGCTTGGTCCCTTCCATGAGGATGGAGACATGATTACAAACATCCATGCCTTGGTCGCTTTAAGGATATATTATTGCAACCAGCTCTATCTTTGAACAAGGACTGGAAACTTTCAGTTTTTGGAGAATCCATCATCTGCAGGATTATGATGAGCATCACTTCTGCAGGAGTGGCTTCTCCCATATGAACATTTCCTCTTTAAGACGCCTTCTCAGAGGACCTTGCTCTGTGTTCCTTTCTTACCAGAGGTGAGATCAAGTGTCCGTAAAACTCTATCATACATCCATATTAATATGTGCAAAGTACTTTGAGCAATCTCTATGAATATTGAGTGTGTCCATTACTATTCATGTGGACACTTCCTGTAACAGCTTTTTTGTAAACAAAGGAAATGACCCAAGCTAATCATCAGTAGGAGGGAAGATTTGCGGATAGTAATGGGTAAGCTATCGGTGGGGCCTCCCATTGTTAACGTCTCACTTTTTGTGCAGTTTTTTTATTCATTAGAGTCTAAAAGAACAGGAATCAAATGTTCAAAAGCCAGCTTTCAGTGTTTCCTGAAATTTCAGTCCAAAGCAACATTTTGAGCCAAATCTAGCAGACGCCAAAGAGGTACTTTGTGTTTCCAGGTATACAGAGGAGGAGAGGAAGTAAACAAGTGTTACATATGCATGATTTTCTTTTCAATTTAAATAAACATTTAAAATAACGTTTTCTGTGTGTCTAATTTTCTGGGGGAAGGGTTTCTTCAGACTTTTTCTGCATGCAACTGTGCTGAAATTGACTTTTTTAAAGTGTCTGAGTAGATTTTGGTTTGTTTTTAATATGAGTTCTGGGAGTACACTTCATAAATTTTTGGCTATTAAGAGTACATTTCGTGAAGTCAGAAAGGTCGCAAAAGTTGGGCAAGACTAACAGGTTCTCATCTGTTGGTGGCACCCTTTGTTCCACATCTGAGGAAGAACGATTAGGATTCTGTGTTTATGTACTCATGCTAAGGTGCACAGGTCTGAAAACAGACCGCTTTTTGTCCTTATACGATGAGCATCACAGTCTCCTGATGGGGGCTCATTTTAATCTGCCGGACTTCTCACTCCTCAATTTCCCCTTTGAATGGGCATGCTTATATTCTACCTGGAAGGGCAGCATTTTGCTAAATGTGTTATGGTTTGGAATGGTCCTATAACTCGGATGGAAAAACCTTCGTTAATTCAATTAGGGACTGGGGTCTCAGTCTTTGAAGCAGCCACAGACTAGATTTTATGAGAAGATGAAAAGATCATTATTTCTCCCATTTGAGTAAAACCTGGTGATGGTTGTTTGTATTTTATTTTATTTTATTTTTATTTTTATTTTATTTTTAAAAAAAATTTGAGAGGAGTTTCCACTGCAGCTTCTTATTTCAACCCAAGAGGTTTAGCCAAGGTCAGCAAGAGGCTCCACAGAACCAAATAAAATGTCTATTCCTCTCCCCATCGTGGAGATGGCTTGCTTTATTTCTCCCTCTGTGCTCTTCAGTATTGCAGCATTTCTCATTATCGTATTTTTCGCTCTATAAGACGCACCCGACCATAAGACGCACCTAGTTTTTAGAGGTGCTATGATGCTCATGTACTGCTTGTGGGCTTCCCACAGGCATCAAGCTGGCCACTGTGTGGCCACAGTGCTGGCCACTGTCTCTGCGCAGCACCCCTTCAGCGAAGCGGGAGGAGGAACAGAAGGGGCTCCGTTCCTCCTCCCGCTTCCCAGGAGAGGTGCTTCACTGAAGGGGTGCTGCGCAGCGCTCCCTCTCTGCGCAGCGCCTCTCCTGCGCAGCGCCATTCACTCCATGAGACTCACATTTCCCCTTACATTTTAGGAGGAAAAAAGTGTGTCTTATGGAGCGAAAAATACGGTAGTTAATATGGGCATCTATTGCTATTTAAGAAAGTGTGAGTGCGACGCTCCTAGGCATGCCTACACAGAAAGCCAACGAAACTTACTCTCAAGTAGATGTGCATAGGATTGCAGCCTCATTGTCTCAAAATCTTGAGCCCTTTTCAAACATGTGATTAGAATCATGAGAGGGGGAAATGTGGAACAAATGCTGACCCTGGCCCCCAAATCATGGTTTTGTCACCCTAGACTAGAACTCTTCACATGTTATATTGAGGAAGAAGTCTGAAGAAGAGAGCCTTTTGATTTTTTTTTTAAAGGAACTGTAGTTACCCCCTCACAGAACTACAATTCCCAGGACCTTTAACAAACTACATTCACCATACTTCTTGGGCTGCCATGTTGTTTTGGTTGCTGCTGTTGGGGTTTTTTTGGATCTTTCGTTTAGGTCTTGCTGTGATTTATGTGGATTTTTTTTCCAGTTTAGTTGTGTATGTTTCATTTCCTGTTTATAATTACTTTTGTTATGTTGTAGCTATGTGTTTTTTGTTCGTGTTGCATAAAAGAAAACATTGCATTCATTTTCCGAAATACAGTTTGACCGACTGAATGATTCCATCTTAACAGGGACATTAGTTTATCCCTTAGTCACAATGGATGCTTCTGCCTTATCTTTTGCAAGCAAAACAAACTAATAGTATTGTTGGGAAATTATAAAGAGCATATAATAAGGTTGATATTGGAGCTGTGGAAAGGAAGCGTTTGGAAAGGCAGCATGGAAATAAAAGTGTGCAGGTACATATGTGGTTTTATGTGAATGATTACAGTGGTACCTTGGGTTAAGTACTTAATTCGTTCCGGAGGTCCGTTCTTAACCTGAAACTGTTCTTAACCTGAAGCACCACTTTAGCTAATGGGGCCTCCTGCTGCCACCGCGCTGCCAGAGCACGATTTCTGTTCTCATCCTGAAGCAAAGTTCTTAACCTGAGGTACTATTTCTGGGTTAGCGGAGTCTGTAACCTGAAGCGTATATAACCCGAGGTACCACTGTATTGCTATTGCCTTTCTATGATATCTTGTACACCACTTTGGAGGGCAATTGTGCCCTCAAAGACAGTCTATAAAGGAAGTAAAAGTGAGGCATGTTTTGTACAGCTAAAAGGAAATATTCGGTAAGGATAAATAGAATGGACTGGAAGCAGCATGGGAAGTGGATGCCATCATTTGAGTTAAGAGTGCTTAGCTTTTGGAATCAACGGCCTTAACAGTGCAGCCCCTAAGTATGTTAACTCAGAATTAAGTCCCACTTAGCTCATTGCATTTTCTCCCTAATGTGTGCTTAGAATTTCACTGTAAGTGTGTGTTGGATTTTGGCCACTCGCAGTCAAGGAACACAACAGGAACAAAGATACTGTTGGAAGGAGGCTTAATGAGAGCCAGAAACACACACAAAAATGGAGTTGGGGTGCGGGAGAAGGAACTGTTTGTTTTTTTAACATTAATTGCAGGGGGGGAGCCTATAAATTGTGGTAAAGTCTATTAAGCAGGCTGTGCAATGCCAGCTTTGTGCCAGCCGTCCATCTGAAACAGGTGTATTATTCCTAGTTCGTTTGGTTTAAATAAATTGCTTTTCCACATCTATTTATTAATCTTAGAATTTCATTATGTATTTGCTGCCACATTGTTAAAGGGTTTGGGTTCCTCTGGGACAAATTTGAAGGTATGCACAGATGCTTCTGCACAAGCCACTTTCACATGATCTTGCTGAGTTGCCATTGCAATGCTCCCACTGTTGGTCGTTGCGGTGAATAAATTTCGCCGCTTGCCTGAAGATCTTCTACCATATGTGAGGGTTGGCAGTGCATCTCATGCCTCCTTTGGGTTCTCAGAGACACTTCCTGGGTTAAAACATACACATAAAGACAGAATAGCACATGCTTGTATTGTTTGGCACGACTCTCTTTGCAATCCGTTAAGGGTGATGGCAGAGAAAAGGTAGCACAAGATTGCTAGCTCCTGTGATAGCCTCAAAAAACCACGAGTTTTCTCTTGATTTCGCCTACGTTTTTCTAAGTTCATAACCACAACTCATGTGCAGTCCCTGAAAGCAGGTGCCGTTGCCCCGACCTTCCTTTATAATATAGAACAACTCTTTTTATCTGTCTACAGAAAATGACTTTCACAGTAGTGGCTTGGGGTGAGAGGATCTCTCCTGTGAGTCCTCCTTTTTGGCCACACCCGTACCTAACATCAGGGGACGCAGGTGGCACTGTGGTCTAAAACCACAGAGCCTAGGGATTGCCAATCAGAAGGTTGGCGGTTCGCATCCCCGCGACAGGGTGTGCTCCCATTGCTCGGTCCCTGCTCCTGCCCACCTAGCAGTTCGAAAGCACGTCAAGTGCAAGTAGATAAGTAGGTACCACTAAGGCAGGAAGGTAAACAGCATTTCCGTGCGCTGCTCCGGTTCACCAGAAGCGGCTTAGTCATGCTGGCCACATGACCCAGAAGCTGTCTACGGACAAACGCCGGCTCCCTCAGCCTATAGAGCGAGAGGAGCGTGCAACCCCAGAGTCGTCCATGATTGGACCTAATGGTCAGGGGTAC